GAAACCCTTTTATCTCATCTCCGTCCGCTTTAATCCATGATGGAACCACTCCGTATCAACCCTAATTTCTAGTTCGTCATTCCGGACGTTTTGTGGCCTTATTAGTGCCATATCTCACCCAATCCTTATCTGATTGTCCCCAAACTCCTACCATTGTTTTCTACAACCTTGAAAACCCTACAAGACTCCTCAGATTGGTGGATTTTGAGTTTAATCTCCCTTTGAGCCCCTATCATTATCTGATCACCACTTCCACCCCTATTATACTCCTCCACTCCCTGTGCTTCGTTTCTGGCCATACTTGGCCTATCTATTGCACCATATAATCGTTCTTCACACCTATATTTTGGGGGCAATCCATCCACTCCATCTGTCCCTGTGAAAATTTCGACTTTTTGGCCTATATTTTCGCTTTTTGGCATATCTGGTGCTTGCATAAAGCTCCAATCTTCTCTGCTCTGTCCATTATCAGATAGAGCAAGCCTATACCCTGTGAAGCTCGCCTGTATTGCCTCAGCTTGCTATTGCCTAGAGCGTCTCTCAGTCTGAGGTGTTTGGGGAGCTTAAGTCACTCTTTTGTTGACTCATATACAAGCCCTTTTAACCAACACTGTCTTGATGCAATTTCTCTGTTAATATCAGTGTATTATTGCAAGGGAACACAGGCATAACCCTGTAGCATCACTAGGAAGCCTTAGCACCCTCCTGGACCGCTTTTGGACCGCTTTTTTGGACTCTTTTGGACCCTTTGGGCCTTTCTGTGCACTTTTTGGACCCTCTCCATTATCCACCTCCACTGCTTTGCCAGTTCATTTCCACACCATGGATGAAACAAAATTACCCCTCATTCATATTCTGCTCCTAATCACTGTTCTTGCTCGTCTCCTAACTGCCATCATTGTAACCAATCTGCCACATCTGGTGCAAAATACCATTTCTCTACTGTGGTTACAGAGTCAGCTAGAAATGCAAGCCTCCATTCTATTCATCCCTCTGACCCACACTGCCCTCTCCAACTTAATGCCAACATTGATTGGAATGCAGACACAGGTGCCACTTCTTATATGACACCCCATTGTCACTGGATTCTGTTAGAATATACTCTGACATACCAATACTCCATAGGATAATACCTCTGATTTGTAAGCCAGCCCAGTAATGCAGCAGCTATTCTGTGGATGACGTCCGTGGTTGCATGTCATGTTTAAGATCCTACATTGTATAACCTTGGCCATATAGCTCAATTGGTAGAGCAGCTGGCATGTATCCAGAAGGTTTCAGGTTCAATCCCTGGTCTGGTCATTATCCAATTTTATCAGATTTGCCATTATGCACCATATTGTGTTCCCATAAAGCTTGTGCGCGATATCAGCAACTTTGTGCAACAAAAAAGC